CTGGCAGCATCTGGAAGTATATTTGAGGTCTATGATAGGAAGTGCTATACACCATCAACACCTGCAGAATGCTACTGCCCTACTTTCAACTGAGAGGTATGATGCATTACTCAGGAGGACAGGCCTCCATGGTCCACTAGCTAGGAAATGGTAAGTGGCAAGGACTCACATATTCCACTAGAATAAAGGAGGGAAAAACGTGTTGGAGGGTCCGGAGGACTAAATCACCAGAAACAGTGCAATATGTGACCACGATACCATATTTTGAAAAGCAGAGCTACCATGTTGATAGAGTCGATCACCTAACACCCAGTGGCAATTGGAATTGTACATTAGCTCTGTTGTAGAAAATAGTCTCAATGTTACAGAGCATCAGAGATGGGCAGCAATTCTTGTCTGCTTTACTAGTGTGTGTTCATGAGTGTAAAGTCTGGGGAAAACATACTTATGAAGCAAAAGACCATTAGAGAGAACTACTAATAGTCCTATGGAACACTCCATCCCTATGGTGTGCATGACCTAATCCTCCAGCTTAATTGTTTTGGTATAGATGACAATTGAATGGAGACACACAACCAACACCTGGTGCCATCTGGAATTGTACATCAGGTCCACAGTAGGAAGAGCTATAATGTAATTGAAATTGAGCATGATCACAGGATGGACAGTGCAAATTTACCAAAAAAATAGTATACTTGGTGGGATCCACAATACACTAACAAAAAGGCCCTTGTAAAACATGAACAAATTTGCAAGCAAAAACAAGCATGTCTGTATAGTACTTCTTCCAATCGAGAAGTGATTAATGAGTGCAAATGTGGAGAGGGAGCTGGTTACAATAGGGGTTGTGTTGTGCTCCTATTGGTGGAGAGCTGCTGCATAATCATTTACATGTGGATATACAGAAACAGGAGGCAGAAGGCTAGTGTGAGTGTTGAAAATTTGCACTGATAGAAGGCAGTACTAATCAAGAAAAGCTATTTTGTGAGAGGAGGTATGATATTGGATAGGATCTTATTGAGTTAACAAGAATTGCCCTGAAGCAGCTTCATTTAGAAAGACAGAAAATGCCATTAATAAAATACAAAAAAAGTTTCTTCATGCAGTTCTCATATTTGACAAATAAATTACCAATCTATCGTGAACTTTTTAAGGACGTAACATGTCTTCTTCCAATCACTCAAAAGCTTGAAAAGAGGGTTCATAAAATAATAAGAATACAAAAAATGCTACAAGTAGTGCAGGTGGATCAATTAGCAATTATTTCTGATTAATGAAGAATATATCAGGAGAGTGAAAGAACAGAGAAAGAAACAAATGATGGTGGGCAGATAGTGTATCAGAGAGTTGATTTCTACAGAAACAAACTGTTACTGAGCAAAAAGAGTGTTTCACAGTACAACATTTCACCAAGTAAACTCAGATCTCTGTTTGTCACACAGTAATGCTAACGTAGAAGGAAGTTTCTAGGAAAATAATAAAAATGTGACAGAACTCTTCAATCAGATGAATCTATTAATAGACCTCATATTATAAAGAATTGAGTTAATATAAAATATGCTGGAAATGTTCGTGAGATTCTATTGACAAAAGAATTGCTCATTGCAAGACTAAAAGCACTTCAAATATATATAAAGAGATGCTTAAGGATGAATAGACAAAAAAAAATTAAAAGACAATAAAAGAAATGAAACTAATTTAATGAGAGAAAAAATTACAAGAAAGAAAAAGAAAATTAGAAGACAAAAAATGTTTCTACTTAATGAGAATGAACGTACTGAAAGCTTACATATTGCAGAAAAAAATGTTATCAGAAGCAAATGATCTCCTGACCAAATCTTCAAAGAATAAAAATTTTGATGAAGTATCGTTGAAACAAGCATTGCTCAAAGATATGAAGAAATGAAATGCTAGACTAGAGGAATGTACAGTTGAAGAGATAGGGTTGAAATTAGCATGTAAAATTGTACACATGATATATGTCTAACACTTGCTTCATGATAGTCAGCTTAAAGATAGTCTTTTAATGCATACACTAAACTAAGATGTCAAACCTGAAAGATTCGTAAGGTGGTAAGTTTAGTATTCATCATTACACACTCTGATGATCATAAGACACAGCAATAAGTATCTTTAATGAAACTGATCTATCTGCAAGTTTAGTTCAACATAAGACTCAATTTTATTAACTTTAAATGTTGTCACCCAGTGTTCATCTATTCCCAGAATAGAAAGTATTAATTCTAAGAGTACATATTTTCTTTTTCACCAGAGGTGAAGTAAAAAAAAAAAGACTCAAAACCCCCATAGATATCATATACATACTTCACCCTGAATGTACTCGGTGTATCTTCATGACATTTGGCTAGCTTTTGGTATACATTTAAGTCTATTGTACATAACCAATCAGATTTTGTAATAATGTATTTTCACTAAGATTTGTCTGGAATTTACTGAGTCAGTGTAACTCAGACTGATTAGTCTAAGCACAAGTTGATTTTCATATTAAGAATAAAAATACTTTTTTCATCTTTCAGTTTTCATTTGCAAGACTTCTAGAACCTTTTTAATGAATACAAAAAGTTTTTTTGATTAAAATCTTATATTAATCTTAGATTATGACTTATTTTCTCTACCTTACCACTAAATGTAGCAAAATCAACACTGTAGGGTATAATGAAAGGTTGTAAAATTAGAAATATATCAAAATTACCCTTTCTTTCTAGAATGACTGTATATTGTAACAGACAATTACAAATCCATTATACTAAGGTCAAATCTTTTCAAATTTTATTGTTTTACAGCTGCACTTATACCCTGTCATAGTACATTGAAAGCCATTTATCATAGTCAGACAGATTTGCGAAAACAAATGATGGAGTTACAATCATACCACAGATGAAGCACTATAGATCTACTTATTTTTGTAACAACATTACTAGTTCAAAATTTTGTTGATTTTATATTTAAAATACAAAACTTAGAAAGCAAAATATTATCCCACACAATAAATAGAATATCCTAAAAGTACTAAAATGTAACTAGTTTTCTAACTAAGTTTTAAATAGGTTAAAAAATTACATTAGCTGGTTGAGATGAACACCACGAGAGCAAACAATGTAACTGAAGCTAAATATGTCCTGAACAGGCAAATTAACAAACAAGCCTTCACATGAATTTTTTAAAGAACAATCTGTTCTTTCTATTGGTTATAAATAATCCAATATCAAATGTCAGGGAGAATTATTAAAATATTTTGAAAAGCAGGATGTAATAAGTAGGGCATGGCATATGTGTTTGACTTCCTTGTTTATATCTCAGTAAAGTAAGAAGCTTGGAGGCCACAAATTTACATTATGGCTTAGTAATATCTTTAGTATAAGTGGTACATATAGGGACAGAAAGAAAATCTAAAATGGGCAATTAGGAGTGAAGAATTGGCATATGATATAGAGAAGTAAATATTATAAATTTCTTTCAATTTTTCATTTTGAAATTAAAAAATTAAAACTTATATGAAATTGGAATTTGTTACAAACTATAGTTCATACCAAGTTTATTAGCATACATTAATAATAAAGTTGTTTAATTAAATTTTGAATGCAAGTAAAAAGGTCATTGATACGTGCACTTTAACCCACTTGTCCTCATAATGTTAACAGTGTCCTATATTTTATTTCTTCCGCAGAGAAAATATTTAAATTTAATATTATCATACAGGTTTAGTTCACTAAATCAAATGGGTGAGTATTCTGACACTTTATTTTAAAGTATGGATTTTTGTTTAGATTTAACAAAGAAATATATACTCACTATTTTTATGATAAAATAGACATTAAAATATGTTTGTAATATGATAAATCACCAGATCTTTTATTTTTATTGTATCAAGTATATGAAACACAATTGACAAGAAATATTGCACACTGCAAGCATACTTTTATGTGTATTATTAAGGATGAATAAGTTAAGTCTAAAGCATTTGCTTCTCCAGTATGTCTAAGTAAATTAAAGTGTTACATAAAGATGTTGTCCTATTATTTAAATAGATGACTATTTACTGAGAATACTAATAATGTTGAAAAGTTTGAATTTATTCAAAGTTCTTTGTGTTGCTTATGAATGTTCATTATGAAGATTCCTCCATTTATAAAAACAAAAATAAATTTTCAGTCATGGGATCACATATCTACTGACTGCTGGCAAAATTTCTTCAGACCCATTAAAATGCAACATGGTCAACCATCTTATAACTTAACGGACAAATGCTATAAACATAGTATCAACCTTTTATGAATGTAGCTTATAATGACAGAAAAATAAATGAATAGGCACATTTATGGTAATAGTTTCATACCTGTTGCAGTTGTTGACCAGCTTGACCCTGTATCTGGATTGTTTGCCCCTGAGGGAGAGCTTGAACCATTATCTGCTGGCCAGTTGTAATGAGATGTGGTTGGTTTCCTGCAGCTTGTGATACCTGAATAACCTATAGATCACAGATTAAAGCTTGTATACATGCTTCAGATGCTAAGTGTTTCTCAGTTTATTCCTCTCATTTCATAATACTTGTAGCCGAAGGTTTTGGATATTGAATACTTTCACTTATTAAAAACGTATATACTTTTAATTATTCCATTTAAAATAAATATTTTCACCAGTTATAAACAACTCGCAATCAAATAATACCCAACCACATAATACAAATATAGCTTCAGTTGAACAAAATAGAACAAACTTCATATCTTAAAAAAACATCCAAACCAAAGTTTAAAAACATGTCATATTTAGTAAACACAGTCCACTAGGTGTTTCTACCATTTTATTTTAGCCAGTGAAAAACAATCCAGTCATATATGTAAAATTCATGGTTTTCCTTTCAACTGATTAAGATGTTTGACTTAAAGCTGTTTATGATTTTGTTTTCAATTTATATTTTTGTTAATGCTTTAAAAGCATATATAGTTTTTCTCCTGATTTGTCCTAAAATTAAAACTGACATTAACTAAAATCTTCATCACTGTCATGTTTATTTTTGACATGTTTTAAACAATTTAGTATTACTTTGAAACATAATGTTGTCTGAGGAGTTTACCTGTGGCTGTGAAGTAACCTGAACTGCTCCAGCAGCCTGAAGATTTTGCATAACAGCCACCTGTTGTTCAGATGTACTTCCATTTCCAGACACTCCTCCACCTGCTCCAGATGCTGCCACTTGGAACTGTTCCATGTGCATAAGTAACAAGTTCAAACTTTAGATGAACTCACTATAAAAAAAAGGGGGAAAAAGAGCTATGAATCTTTATTGTTATCTTTTTAAGGATATGCCTATAAAACTAAATGGGCATTTATCTATAAAAGAAGCATCATGGTGCACTAGTTCAGAGGATCTAAAAAAAAAGTAGAGCTCTAAAAGCTTTAATTCTCTTAACAAATGGACCTGTCTTCCTTAAAAAAAAAAGTGGAAACTACTGCAAGAACATTTAGTGCAAAATGAATAAACAGAAAGTTAACTAACTGATTGTACATAAGCCCAAATCGCATGATAATTCTCTGTATATAAAAGTAGCTGGTCAGTGAACAAGATTAAGTTTAAAAATGAAAGAATTCTTCTTGTACATTTGTTTTGTATATATTTTTTATATTTATTTACAAGACAGACATGGATTTACACTGCAACCGAATGATATACAAGTACAAGAGAATGTAATAAAATGTCAGCCACACATACTACATCCAGACATAATCACATACAGATTTACATGAACTATGACTCACTATTGAGCACAATAGTTTGATATTTAAAGAACCATTTTTACTTATATCCTTTAGCATGATACTACCTCCTGAAAATACCCCTTGAAAACTAATGAGCTTTAAGTACCATAGCAATTTTTCATGGGCATGACACGAAAACTTGCAATATACAATTAATTTTATAATAAGTTAGATACCCTGTTATTTCAATGGACACAAATGTCCAAATGTAATTATTCCTCAGAAAACAATTACTTATTTGTAGGTGAACATAATATTAAGTTATATAATGGAACAACAGATGTTTTAGTAAGCATGGTAAAATACAGTGGTAATAAATTTGAGTTTTTATTAACAACCAAATAAAAAACTGACTGCTTATGATGAACATTGATAATGCAGTTATGATATATAATGACCATTCTTAATTCAGATCAATAACTTGTCAATGCTCATTTAAATCTACCTGTGTTATGTATTAGGAAAATAAAAGAATAATTTTAAGTTGTCAGATGAAGAGATATTTCATATAAAAGTAAGAACTGTCAGTCTAAGTTTTATAATAACTATAAGTATTTTCATAATTATATACAAAAAAAATAATTCACTGAAATCATATGTCTTCTACAGTATAATCAGAATCCATATGTTTAGAAATTTTTTGAGAGAGTGCAGCCACTTGGTCAAGCAGCCAAAGAAAGAGAATGATTAGAAAGTTAGTGAAAGATTTAAATGTGTTGTTTTAGTTATTTGAACACTGTAAAGGTTATATATAATTGAAAGGTTAAAAATGTTTTTCCTATTATAAGACTAGAACAGATATAATTTGGTTTCTTTGTTTATTAGGAATATGAACAATGCATTGTTTCCCTTCACACACACACATGCCTATTCAAGAATGTTTTATGTGATTTTGCACTGCTGATCGCACTCATCAGGTCACCAGGCAAGTCATCCCAAAGTTTATAACTCTAACAGAAGAATAATTTGCCACAGAACTAATCTGAGTCTGTAATTCCCAGTTTAAATTTATTACTCCCAGTCAGTAATACTGAAAGTTGGAATTTCTAATTTCAAATAGATGACCTAAAAGCAGATTAACCTAGCCTCTAATAATTTTAAATATGAATCAAATCAATTCTAGCTCTTTCCCTTCATAGAAAGGTAACCACTTCTTTATGTCTTTTGTAGTGGTTCATAATTATTCAGCCACTAGTTTGTCCTTGTATACTCTTTCGCAGCAAAATGACCAACTGTCCACAACATTGCAAATAAAACTATACCACTGTAGTACCACCATTATGGAAAATAAGATTACAATAGCCTTTTCAATCTTAAATACAAATTTTCATAAATTCTAAAGCTTTATTAGCCCTTTTCTTTACAAATGAAGACATCATCATCACTCAAACAAACCTATGAACCCCATGGGAAGTTTATATAAATCCCTAACAAGTTTTAACATCAGAATAAAGTCACCTCAAATCCTCCCACATTCCCCTCACAATATTAGGTTTTTCTTTTTGGCCTTCTCTCTGGATACATCCTTCTACATTTAGGTTGCTACTTTTTAAAAGGGCTAGAATGGCAAAGACATGATTTGTCCTGTTCTCAGACAGAATTTTTTCAGTCTTCAACAGATAGAACGATTTGTCAAAGATATTATGTACTGTAGTCTTGAAATATTTCAAAGCTTGGATGGGCAAGTTTTAATACAATAATTAGGGAATGATGAACCTGCCACATAGTCGATTGAATTATTTAAATGTTACTAATCACCGATCACATGGAAAGAATGCATTACACACCCATTAAATAGCAACAACAAATTACGTGTACAAGCATAACATTAGATATTTTAATATTTATTATGCCCTTAAAGAAGACATTTATTTCATCATTACTTACTATACTGGGATATCATACTATATCATAAAATATTTCCTCACCTATAATTATTTCAAGTTTCACATTGTATTCCCTTAAAACAATGCACAACTAATGCATAGTGTATTATTATACATATAACTTGATATCATTTGATAATAAATTCTTTTGAATAGCAACAAAACTGTTGAACCGGAATGAGAAAAAATCATGTTTCCTAAGTAGGGCAGCTCATGGGCAAAAAGGTTACATCTGTGTTCTTCAGTTTACTTTGACTCAGTTTGAGTTTATAATGACCTCAATTGGATGAATAATTTTTTGTAATTCTTCTATGTACAAAAAATACAAGAATACATCTAATTTTCTACTTTTGGTCATATTTTACTAGTCACAATCCTATACATTGTGCATCTGTTAACCAGACCAAAAATTCTAATGTTTGTTGGCTTGTAGATGTACAAGCCTTACAGTTACAACTACGTCAGTAAGTGTAATACAATTTCAGATTTAAACCTTAGCTATTGTTAGTTATACATAATTTCTGAGTCTGACTCAATCAGAAATTGTGGATAAGTATAACCAGCAATAGGCTGAATAGCTAAGGTGTAACTAAATCTCATTGATGCGTGTGACAAAAACGTAATCATCACTTATTAGAAAAAATATATAAATCATTAATACTAATCAGTAACGACCGTCAATAAAATTTAAACTATGAATGTGAGCTGGCAGTTTACTACTAGTACCACTATTTTCTGACGCTCGAGGTCAACTATGTCAACATGCCCTACATCGCTTTGTTTCGCATTGATGGTTAGGCCTAGAAACAACTCATAGTCTACTCGTATACCTAACATACTTATTAAAGTGTTAAAATCTTAATTTTGAAGAAAAATCTTCTAACACGTGCTTTTAAAGCATGCTATAGACAAAATCGAAGATAAATTGCGAACTTACATTGGATAAAAGCACAGTGGTCTCTTCTTGATTGGCTATGGGAAACTTGCACCAATGGACAACGAATCACTAGTCATAAAAACAACAAGCTTCGTCTTTATTGGTGCTGTTCTATTCATTGCTTCCTTTCCCTTTCAACAAAACCCAAATATAATTTATTTTCTTTAGCAAAATATTTCAATCGTAGAAAAGTAAATATCAGTAACTATATTTTTATTTTATTCTATTAATTGATTTTTTCCCTTCTCTAACTCTTCCTTTTGTTCTATAAAAAACTATTTTATATCATCAACCAATAGGAGGAATAGCTAAATTAACATCCGGCAACCGACTCGCCAATCTCGAGTCAAAACTATGTTACGTGATGCGTATGTTTTCCTCGCTCGTGATCATCGTCATGCGAGTAAGAGTTATTGACAATTGGAACAGTAGAAGTGTGACCTTCTACTGTGTGTTTGGTACGTATCTACTGATCGTTATAGGTCATTGTGGATTTTCTCCTTACAATGGCCCGAAGTCTAAAAGTTAGTAATTCCAGTAAACTTAACCTCATCAAAATGTAAAAACCAGAGAGATAAATAATCGCATTTGACTGGCCATAAATATATCTTATTTGTTCAAGTTGTTTTTGTTTTCTTAGGGAAAGCTACACAATAAGCTGTCTTCACTTTGTCCACAGAGGGAATCGAACCCAGGATTTTTTCGTTGTGATAAGTCCATAGATTTGCCGTTGACCCACCGGTGGACATTTGTTCAAGACAAGAGAACCTTGGTCTTATAGAAACAGTAACCAGGAAACTCTTATTTGATTTGATACTATTGAAACAAACCTGATTTACGAAATTTGTATCATATGTCTATACAAACTGTGAAAACGATGGAATAAAATAATTTCTAACATAACGTTCCACATACATCATGGTGAGGAATTAAAGAACAGCTTGCTGGTTCGCCAATTTCATGTTAATATTAAGCAGGTTAATCCAAGAAAGTAAGAATTAATAATATATGCTGTTAAAATGAATAAATGAAATAGTACTAAATAATCCTTACACTAATTTCGATGTTTTGCGACACAAACAGAATTGATGAAAATCTAATACAGTAGAACCTCGCAGTACGAGTTTAAATCGTTCCCAGACCGAGCTCGTATTGCGATTTACTCGTATTAT